CCGCTTTGGTTTCAGGCAATGAGCGGGTCTCTCCTAAACTCGGGCCTGAAAAGACACTGCAGAGAGAAATCACAGAGATTAAAAAGTAAATCATCTTCTGGTAAACACCCGAAATAAATCTCGAGTACAGTTGCTGTGTAACTCGTTAGCATTGATAAGCTACTGCTTTGCTACTGACTCGTCCATCTCCCATGAGACTGCCCCTCATGCAAGAAGTCCTCTTTGCAGGAGCGGTCCTTCCCTCAGGTGGCAGCTCAGTGGGGATGGAGAAGAGGGCGATGGGGAGGAAAGCCAAAGGGATCTACTTGCGTTCTTCATTTGCTTCAGTTGGCTTTATGTGGTGGCAGCGTTATTTAAAATCGCCTCAAGCATTTTTTTCTCTGGATGCTAAATATGAAACTCCTCAGTATCTGAAAGCGATTGTGGGAAAAATTAGTGTACTGTACTGAGCAATATGTACTAAACTATCCTGTGCTTATTTGTAAGCACTGTAAGCATCTTTTAAACCACAAGAAAAAAAAATTGGCATTAAGTTTTTTTTATATTTTTTTGTTCTTGGAAGTGTTGAAGGAACTTTTTCAGTTGTACTCGCTTAAAAGAAAAGTATATGCCCAAATGAGTCAAAGACATGAGCTATGGTGTAAGGCACTCTACATACTGTACTTGCTCATAGCAGTGAGTTACAAATAACTTTCCACTGAAAAGTGTTTTCTTTTTATTGTACAGCATTGAAGAAGTCTATTATGTTTATACTAGTAGTGCAGTGCTTCATAGAAAAATGTAGTCTTGGTGCCACAAACTGTCATTACGTTATAAAGGCTGAATGCTCTGGCTGGTCTTCCTACCCTTCAGAATGCTTTTGGAGCAAGAGTCATGTGATAGATTCTTCCCCTTCCAAGGAAAAAATTATCCCCCTGCCTGTAGAGTTTGAAAATAAAAAATAATTCCAGAGATGCTCTCGTATTCAACAGCACAGTTCATGCAAGATGTAACTTACAGGGCCTAGGGACAAGAGAGCTCAGGAACAGCAGTCCTTGGAGATATGGAGAACAGGTGTGAGAAGGATAATGATTGCAGTCGCTCTCCAGGTGTCTTTGGATATGTGTATGTGGGAGATGTGGCTTCTTGTTGCTTATATGATGTTGTGGCAGCAGGCCGATGAGGAGAGCAATCTCCCTTTTCAGGTGGCAGTCTCATGCTTTTCCTTGTTCTCCTCTCATAGAGCCGGTTTTCCCAAAGTTCTGCTGTCCACCGTGATGTAACTTCTCCAGTAGGAACAGCTGCCTGCTTGGGCAAAGCAAACAAGCCTCTGCGACAGTGTTTCTGCTGCTGAGCCCCAGGATTGCTAACTAGGAAGATAATTTCCTGACTTGCTTCTTTAACTCCAAACTCAGTGCCGCAGCTGCCTCCAGATCAAAATCTGAGCAGCTGATTTTTACATCCTTTTCCAGGTTGCCCCTTTTGCCCCTCATCACTAGCCTGACAAGTATTAGTTTTAGAGTTGCTCTGTACTGGTGAAAGTTGGACAAAATGAAAGGTTAAACAAACAGGTCTATATGTAAATGCAATTTACAGAGATAAATTGAGTCCTGTCATTTGTAAAGCAGAGAAATCTGCACTGTTTCAGATATTTCAGCTGATAATTGCAGCTACTGTACGGATAGGAGCATGCCAGTAGTGACTGGTGTGTCGTGTGTTACCCACACTGCATGCTTTTGCAAAGAGCTCTAGATGACCAGATCTGAGTGAGCAAGTGAAGGCTCTTATGTTTTGCCAGGGAACAATGCACCTACCTGTTTCATTTTCAAATGCCTCAAGAAATATGGAAATAATAGTTTCATTTGCAAGCACTTGATAGCCATTTGCAGCCAAGAGTGCTTTTCTCCTCCCCCCATTTAAGTGTAATTGAAGGGTTCTTTTCAATATCTTGGGCCACCCAGCTTTTAGGTGACTCCTGTCTGTGAGATCTCTTGATAATAAAGATCAGCTGAAGCAGTAGATCCTGGTCTAAACAAGAATGGCAGGATTACAGTAGATTAGAAGGACATTCAGCTCTTTAACAGGTTTCAAGTGTGTTTGGGCAAAAAGGGTAGAGAGTAGCCAAAGTATTTTGGTGGTTCCCGTCCCCCCCCGGTCTC